GCTGCTGCGGGCATTCCCCTTGCAGCAAAAAGCTCAACCAGCGCCCTGCAAGCTACGACCACCTCCCCGGCAGCCAGATCCCGGCGGGAGATATTATTAAAGTGCTCAATCCCCCTGTGTCCAAAAGTCTCTTTACAACAGTCGCGCTATAAGGCCCCGCCCCTTTTATGACAGCCGCGCTTTACGGCCCCGCTCCCTTTTACGACAGTCGCGCTTTAAGCCCCCACCCCTTTTATGACAGTCGCGGTTTGAGCCTCGGTCCCTTTTACGACAGCTGCGCTTTATGGCCCCGCCCATTTTACGACAGTCGTGCTTTATGGCCCCGCCCATTTTACGACAGTCCCGCTTTACGGCCGCTTTACAACAGTCGCGCTTTACGGCGGTTTCTCTATGACATTTTGCAACTGTTTTTCTTTGAACATTTTACGGCACTTAACAGTTTTTCCTTTATTTTGTTTATTTATTTTTATTAATTTAATCTTTTACTATTTTTTAAATTTAATTTTTAAGTTTTTCTATTTTTCCAAATTTATATTTTATATTATTTGTTGCTGCCCGGAGCAGCTCAAGCTGGTGATTGTGGTGCTGTTTAAATGTCCCCAGGACGAGTGAAGAGAGGAGAATCTTGGCTCCGCCCTTCAGAAGGCTGATTCATTATTTTATGGTATCTGTTCTATTAAAAGAAAATGAGCCATTAGAGCTATACTAAAGGGGGAGCAAAGAGACATCAGAACCCTGGAAAGGAATAAATAATTGCACACTCAAACACCACTCACATTAACACCCTTGCAAACTACTCACTCACACTCTTGCACATTACTCACACTCTTGCACACTCACACTTTTGTACACTACTCACAATTGCTCACTACTCACCCCCTCACATTCTTGCACACTCATGCATACTTGCTCACTCCCGTGCGCACTCACTCAGACCCTTGCACATTAGTCACGCTCAGAGCCTTGCACACTCACACTCTTGCACACTCACAGACATACTTGCCCGCTCACTGGCATTCTTGCACACTCACGCAGACCCTTGCACACTTATACACTTGCACACTACTCACACTTGCTCACACTCTTGCACACTTCCGCACACTCTTGCACACTCCTGCACACCCGCTCACACTCTTGCACACTCATGCACACTTGCTCACACCCGTGCGCACTCGCTCATGGGGCCCGGCAGCACAGGATGGTGCCCGTGGGACAAGAGCCCATCTGGGGCTCTGCTCAGCCCTGTGTTACCTTTAGCTGGTGCTCTGTGGACACACCTCTCCCTCCTGTGCCTTAACATAAAATATGCAGTTTTCCCTTAAATAAAGTATTTTCTGAAGAACACAGGGGAGGCACTGATTTGCAGGCTGTAACCCTCTGCTGGGGCCCTGTGCACCAAGTTCTCAGACAGGGAGGGAGATGCACGAAGCTTTCCCTGGCCTCACAGAGCTCCAGGTCTCCTCCGAGTCAGCCCAGCAGTCACTTCTCTTTTCACTTTCTTTCATAACCATCATTTATTTCCTTCTGCGTGAATATACAGGCGAGAGGCACCGGTCTCCCCCTCTCTCTCCACCTCCTTCCCAGCCATGTGACTGAGCACTCCCTGCAGCCGGTGAAACTTTTCAGTCAG